AGTCCGCTTACAAGCTCAGCGGCGTTTAGTCATGGTAACAAACTATATGGTCTCTGCCTAACCATTTACTGATTCACTGATTCACTTCAAATCTGAGAAAGTCACCTTTCTCATAGTTTTAATCTACAGTAGACAAGAGATAAAGAAAAATGAAAAGAAACAACAGTGATATGAAATGAAGCTGGAGTCAAGCCATGCAATAAGAAATAAGTTTATAGATAACGATATCACAGTACACGACTGAAGCATAAATGATATCCCAGTATAAGTAACTTCAGTGCAAACACATACGTAGGTTGACTCGGTACACTGGTCATGTTTCATGCATAGACGTAATCAAGATAGGATATTACTGAGTCAAGTTTGGTTTCATTAACAGTCTCCTTAACTTTGGGATGAGATTTAAAGAAAAAGTAACGAAGAGGAAAAATAGAGCCTACAAACACCACTGACTAAATAACTCACATGTACAATGAACATTTGCTGATCAGATGACACATCAGAAGTCAAGTTTCGCTCTCCGCCTTCCAAAACAAAATAAGAATAGAAGTGTTGGTGTAACTACCACCACTGTATAGTGGCGATGAATATTCAATTTCTCCGTAGGCAAATGCGCCGTATTTGAATTTGGTGTCTTGCAAACAGGTGAAGAGTGTACGAAACTATACTATCACAAAAATAAATCGTAGAAGAAGTAATTCTGTAACACTGGAAAAAAAACTTGCTTTAAACTGGGTCAGACCTTGTCTGTTCGAGAGAAAACAAGGCACACTTGTTTATAGAGAACTAAAAGGGAAGTTTTACATCGACGACAGCAACTTCCCCAGTGAATTTAAACGGTATGACGCGCTTATTTTTTGGGACTAGACGTTCGATTCTCCTTGGCCTCAGTTTCTTTTGATTTAGTTCTTTATATCTGGAACAGAGATATCAAGGCGAATTCTAAGCGAATGCCGATCATGCAAAGATCTATTCTTATTTAAATTAATTACATAGACGAAGACTTACTCAAAGACACTTTAACTAGGTCATATTTCATGCGCGTTGAGAATAGACCCTCCAACAGTTTTTTAATAGGTACCAGTGAGGGAATATCACTCGATACTGCTAGAAAGAGCGCCTTAAAATAAGCAAACTTGCTAAGTTTCAATGTAATACGATAGATGGGGGCGAAGACATACTTTCGCAAAGTCGCGAAAAAATGACAGACGTTTGCATGGCCGGTGAGGCGCAAACTTGCCGCCAACTCATAGAAACGTCTGTAAAATTTTGCGAATTTGTGGAACTATATGTTCGTTATTTTTCATAACAAATCAGTCTCAATCAAGGAAACCTTTGAAAGTTTCCAGGCGCTTTTTGCAGCAGTGCCCACGGATTTTCGCCAAATAGTGGTCCCTGTGAAAGGGCAGAAGATCTGTGGAACTGTTCATTACTCAAGGCGATTAAATGGCAGCGTTGCAAGCGATGTTGTTGGTGCACACATTTTACTGGGCTTAAGTCCCAGTTAGTCCCGAACTGTGCGTCACATGTTCTTTTGTATAACGATCCTGTTGTGGGGGGTGGGGGCGGGAATGGGTTGAATTAAGAATCGGGAGAGCGAGTCCGCTTACAAGCTCAGCGGCGTTTAGTCATGGTAACAAACTATATGGTCTCTGCCTAACCATTTACTGATTCACTGATTCACTTCAAATCTGAGAAAGTCACCTTTCTCATAGTTTTAATCTACCCCTCAATTTTTCTTCATTACTGATGAAATCATCCAGGAATTCCAGTCACCAGTCAGTTAAAGGTGATTATAGGATCGCAAACTACATGAATTGTGGCATTCTAAAATCGAATAAAATCTCGAGGAGAGATTGATCAAACAACAAAGCTCTTTACCGAAAGGACACTAGCTACCTGAGGCCAGAGACTGTCCCTTTTAAACAGGCTTGCCGTAATTGTCAAAAATTAACTGAATGATAATTGTAGCTATATTGCTTATCTACCCCTTAAAATGTACCTCATGTTAAAAGGCTACAATTAGAATTTTATCTTACTTTTTGTTATGATTTTTGTATTGTTTACTGTCATTTCTCAATTTTAAAAAATCCTTCATTTGAATAGATACCCCCGTTGTAGATAAATTTTAATTAAATCAAAAAGGCAATTTTATTATACGCTTTGTGAACTAAAATTGAATACTCCGTGCGTGTGTACCATACTTTGATTTTTGTAAAGGCCCATCCACTAAGCCTAATTACATATTTGTTCAATCGCAGCCGTTGAAACCGTACACCGCCTGTGCTCACATTGGTCCTAAAATAGATGTTTAAAATTAAGAAAAAGATAAAAAAGGAAATTGCCGGGCATGGCTAAATAAAAATATGAGCGAAGTGAAAGGCGGAAATATGTACTGAGATATTTGAAACATACCAAAATAGATCGAGAGTAAGGGAAATGATTCACAAATACGATATTTGTTGCCTTACCAGTAGTTAAGGACAGCACGTGGGTAACTAACTTTTGGTGATTGAAGCGTCGGCGTTACAAAGCTCTCTTAAATTTTACACTTCCGTGTGAACACGCTCGACACGCGACTGGACTGTAACCCGTCCCTAGTGCCGATAACAAACTTGGGGAAATTAAAACACTGCCGGTAATGGAGCCAGAACATTTACCGCTGCGATAAGCTTTAAAATCCTCTTATCATAAATTATCACAAAGATACTGCTGAGTTTGTTGCAGTGACTTGTCAGGCAATTTTCTCGCCGACAATCAAGCTCGCAGTCTGTCTGGCATTATGAAAGGCCTGAATACATATAAGTACACATTTTAAGTGGCTATGGGCGGCTTCATCAATTGGCAGAAGAGATTTATTGTACTAAATTGGCTGTCAAGTATCTTAGACGTGATAATCTCTTACGAACGGCAATCTGTATTATTAATCGTTAACGGCGCTGATAATAAACTAGAAGAAAAGAGCATTTTATTCGCACACTAACGTGAAAAACTGAAATCTTTGAATTTTTTTCCAGCGTGGCTTGATATATCCCATGAAAAGCTAAATTTTGCTGAATTAAAAATCGGTTTCAGCATTTTATGACTTGCGGAAAAAAAAGTTTGAGACAATTTTATTCAATTTTCTAAGCTTTCGCAAACAAATCTGTATTTGATGAGTTAACGGTCATCTAACTCCGTCTTTGATGACTAAAGTAAGGCATATTCAATAGCTTTTTATTCCCAGTAAACATATGAAATCTTTCGTCAAAGACCTATCAGAGACGAATTTTAGATGAACTGTTTCCTTTACCGGCCGATCATGACGCTAAATAGCTAGTTTTAGTTTTAATTTTTTTTTTTAAATGTCGTGTTAACTTCGGATTAGAAACTTTGTTTAGACGATGTATTTAATGTTACAGAACTGTGAAACTATAAACTTCATTAAAACCACATTAAAACCTGACGGTAAAAGCTTTGGTTTTTATTTGAGGCAAAAAGGCTTTCACTGAGTTCCTTAGTCGAACAAATTGGTTGTTCATGTGTTTTCCGTGAGGAACTGTTAGTAGACAGTCACCTAATAGAATTTTTGTTCTTGTTGTGAGACAGTTTAGCGAATTAGGAAGTAGTTTTTACAATATCTTTTCGAGCTTGCAATAACGAAAAGAGATGTATTTAAAAATATTTATCCCGTTGTACAAGGAGCAGAAGGAACGCTTCGACTAGTAATAAATGTTTCATTTATAGACAAAAATAAGACAGTCGTTATTCAGTGCTCTGTGAAGCGATAGTTCCGGTATCGATGCACAGTTTCCTCTAAACCCGGCCACGATTCATTTCATTAATCTTGGACGGCCGTTTTTACATGCTAGAGACGTTTAAGTCGTCTTAGGACATCTTTAACCTAAATAATACAGACCGCCAGCGGATTTACCGTGTGCGTCGTTCACGCGCACTCAACAGACGACTTTAACGTCTCAGAGGGCCTCTTCACGTGAGCCCGGTTATCGGGACCAATTTCGCCTTGGGTTCATATGAGAAATTTCAGACCGGTTTCCAAGATGAGAAAAGGCCAAAGATCCTGGGGAAGAGTTCTGACGCGAAATTCTAGAAACAAAGCAAACATAGCGAAATCAAAAAAATTATGAATAACTTTCGCGCCAATCAAAGTTTCAATCACACTTTTCGGAAAAAACGTCAACCCCGTTTTATTTAAATACTAGCATGGAACCATCATACTCAGTAAAAACGCTACACAGTAGCGTTTTTACTTGGAGCGTGTTCAAAAATTGAATTGATCTGAACCCGATTATGGATCACAATGTGGGGGGATAATGGTTTATGTTCACACCGCATTTTAATAATAACGAGAAAGACTCTTCATGGACTCTGGTTTGTTTTAATTTGAGTTAAAAAAACTACTGAATCATAAGTCTTTATTGGTATATTGATAACACTTGAAACTGACGCATCCAAATCTCCTTAGCTTGTGTAATGTTCACAACGTTGTGATCTGTGAAGTCAAGGGGATAGTTAAATGAGTCTGATATAAATTAATGTTTCCTTTCCTGGGGCTATAAAACAGGTAGTGTACAAACTTCAAAAACTAGCGAAAAAAAGGGACTTTTAAAATAATAAAAAAATCATTCTACCAATATAATCATTTTTGATGGCATCCGCACTGATTTAATATAAAATCTTAAAAGGAGGGTTTGATCGGTCAAAAATCCGTCTATCAAAAACCTCTTAAAGAAAACCATATAGTTTTTTTTAATCAGTTTAACGTTTCGACATGTTATTCAGCACTTCCGATATGCTGGATTAGTTTGCCTATTAATTGGACCATATTTAAATGTAGTTTTTATTTTACACCACTCGAGAGATGTAAGATCACATGCACTTATTTTACTACAACTGACAAAAGCCTTTCATCCATTTTTAGGTATTGTGACCCCATCTTTAGCTGGACTTTCGAGAGGTTCGTCAACGACTCTCAGTAAACAGGTGATAGTTTTACCTACCTAGTATACTTCCCTGCAAGCTCCAAGAGTTAGTTGGTCAATAAGGCGATCGGCTTTAGTCAGAACCTCGTCAAATGAGCTCGACAGTATAACATTTTTACCAGCAATGTACCCAAGTTCACGAGTATCTACATCGTCTCCGACACCGATTGCCATCATGTGAACACCTAAAGACTACAAAGAAGAACGTTCAATTAAAAATTAGATCCCTTGAGGACGTTGCTGTCCTTTGTCCGCTGTGTATATAAACTCACTATTCATTTTTCCCTAGACCATAATGCACCTTGTTTACACATCAAAACTTTGCTTAACCATTGTCTTCGATTTCTCTTGAGACTACTGTAATACCCAGGAGAAGTTGGAAAGTCCTAGGGTGCTTTCCATATTGCCAAATCAAACGGTCAGAAACCAGTGGAATTATCAATAAGAGAAAATGGAACGACGTTGTTCAGTGGAAGCAAAGTTTCCAATCAAATCGAAGCGATCCATTTGCGTTTGATCGAAATTTTGATTAATGCTCCCAAAGTAGGTCTGGAAACGAGAATTTTTGGAAATGGTATGGCAAGTTTCGGTTGGACCGAACCGACCGGTCAAGAGCACCACCTCTGGTAGTGGACCACTTTGTACAGAAAATTTCTACGCGGACCGAAGTGTTCCCTATATTTCTCGACCAAGATTTCCGACCATTTTGGCATAATGGGAAGCACCCCTAAGCTATCTGAGCTAGTGAGGTGTCGACTGACATCATCTATGCTCCTATATAAAGAGGCCCTTCACCGGTTTTGTAATCTATTATAACTCACCTTAAGATCCTTGGAAGGTTGTTTAACCTTATCGCTCCCTCCATAGGTCTTTCCGTCAGTCATGAGAATGCATGTTTTGGGCACACCTGCGCGGGTGGCTCCCTGAAATATTTTGTCCTTAACTTCCTTTAAAGCCAGTTGAGTGAAAGTGGAAATAAACGATCATAACAGAAATTTAAGGAGTTACCTGGTCCCACTATCTGGAAAGTCAAAGCGGTCGACGAACATTTTGAGGAACTGAATCACTTTGTTGAAATTAACTTGCTTTACACTCCCGGATGTGTCGATGACGAATGCAATGTCTACAGCTTTCTGGCAACCTACAGGGAGGGAGCGGCGAATTACACGTGACACTTCAGGTGAGATAAAAACAGGATAAATATAAAGATTTTTTACTGTAAAACATGTAAGACTCACCGTATCCCCCACCAACTGGTATTTGATACGAGAAGTTTTGCTTGTCTCTAAACTCATAGAAGTAAGCTCTGTAAGCTCTTCCTACGCAAAGTGATTTAGGATCTTCTTGTTCACACGGTTTGAACGATTCTCCCACACAATTGCCTTCCGAATCCTTCGGGTACCTTTTAGAAAGGGTAGAATAAAAATTGGCGATATTAATTTCAATCAAATGTCGGAGAATTGCAACCTGAACAGTGATGCCTCATGGGCTGGTTTACTCAGACCTTTTGAGTTAGGATTTATCCTTAGCATTCAGCAATTATGGAAGGAGGCTGAGTATGATCTGATTGATCATGCAAATCAGAGAGCGTTTCACCTTGTTATATAATGCTTTTAGGTATAGAAATGCGGCTTTTTCTTCTGCGCAAAACGTTTGAATTTTTCTCTATTTTCTACAAATTGAAAACAAATGAGCAATTGTTGGTTTTCACATGACGTCACTAAAATTTAAACTACAAAACTATGGATCCTACTGAGATTTTACTTTCATAATGTATTAGAGCAGCTGAAAACTAATTTTCATACAAACTTTCGCTTCGAAAGGGTTCTTGGTTTTGTTATAGAAGAGTACGCTTAAAATATTTCTGAGCTTTTTCGTGACGCGGCATTTACGTGGCAGTAAAGAGAGCTGTCATACAGGTTGACTTATTTCGGAAAATTTTGTTATCTGAACAGCTCATGTATTAGAAAAAGTATCACTTAATGTTTATGACCTCCTTGAGGGGTAAATTTACGTTTTTGTAGGAAAACTCGGTGACAGATGTTTTTGTTGGTTTCCGGCCGACATGTTGGTGCCGATGTGGATAGGCTCTTGTACTTAGAATTGGTGGAATAAAGCAATGAGGACACAGGATGAAAATTCGATTGTGTCTAAGACGCCCGAGATGTTAACTTACTTCTTGCATAAAATTACATGTAAGAGGCCACAGTGTTGAAGAATTCTTCAAATTTTTTGTATAAGCTGCGCATGAAGTTATATGCCTTGATCTACAAAAGGGGCTAAATTGGCAATGGATCGAGAAGAAAAAGACATCAGTTTATTTAGTTTCAAATTGTTAGTCAACCATTTTAAAATCCAGCCATTTTTATACCCAGTCAAACTTGTGAACTCTCTCCAGTGTTTTTTGGTTCAGTTTTAGTTGTCTTCCTTCATGCTTGGCGGTCCTCATCAGACACTTTGACGGTGCAGCGAAATCAACTGGGGCCTAACTGAGCTTGGATTGAAATCCTAAACACGTGTTCTCACTTTTCATTGGCTTTTTTTGTGAACGTGACTTGTGATTGGCGGATTAACCTGATTATTTTAATAGGTGGTTCCCTCTGAGGCCTTTACACTGTAACAGTTTCAAATACTAGAATGTTACTGAATATAAGAATATATTAAGAACCAGTTTCTTGGTAATCTATTTAATGCCTTACGGAAAGATATTTTTTTGCATATTTATGCTAAAACGCCAATAATTATTTTGAAACAAATGCTACATGAAAATCTAAGTTTAGGAAAAAATTAGGCTGGTCTTTTGGTTAGAACCCGTTTAGATTTAGATTTTCTTGTTTTGACATATGACTCTGGACTTGAAAAGCCGCCGGAACGTTCGAGAAAAGACCCGAGGACAATGTGAGTAGGATATCCATTATTAGTAAAATCCAACTAGTGGTCTATTATTAATGCTTCGTTCTGATTGATTGAGCTACTACTAGGCTATATGTTATAGCCCAATAGCAGCGAAAAGCGCGGTCCTTTTGGCGGCAATAAAGGATTAAAGTCTAGCTTTAACTAGCTAAAAGCTTTTTATTCTCGATGCTAAAACAATTATTCCTCTCGCCCTCATGGCCTCTGAGTCAGTAGCCCATTCGGCCTTCGGCCTCATGGGCTATTGACTCCGAGCCCATTCGGGCTCGAGGAATAATTGTTAAATACAAACACTTATGTCGGATAATAAAGAAACTGGCATGACGCTTAAGCGGTTGATCGTTTTTTCTTATCAGAAAGGTCATTACCTTGGCAGTAGTTGATTAAGAGAGCCATTTCTTGCCCAGCATTCTCCGTAATATTGCAGTGCAAACCACTGGAGGTTTTGACGTCTAGCTTCTGATGCACAGCGGTTTGCTAAACTGAGGAAATTAAGGTGTACATCACATTGTATGTGATCAGTTTTATGAGCATTTTAAAGGTTGTGGTCATCCCACAGAAAGAGACCAGACAAAGTAACATAAAGAAGTTTCTGGTCTATCAGCTATACAAGTTCCACCCTACTCGATTTCAGCTGATGCAAAGCTGGTGTCAGAGCGCTCAATAGAAGGACTAGAGCGAGAATACCAGAAGTACAATGTTTTATCAACTGGAGATTTGACTAGGAATTTTATTACCATATAGTTTCGTTCTACACGATCGTGCAGCACTATCCTATATATTATTTATATTATTATTTAAAAGGCGACAGGGCACTAGGCAATTCCATCCTACGAAATTCATTCAAGTTAGTGCCAAAACAAACAAATACTAACACAGTTTTACTGCACGTACAATAAGAGACTGGAACTCTTTACCAAATAGTGTCATTGAAAAGCAGTCACTGGAGGCCTTCAAAATTGCCGCCTTGTGCCATCTTTAAAAACGCTGACCCAAGAACTTTTTTTCATCAACACTGGCACCATGATTATATTTTAACATAAGCACATGCACCGTATTTGCGTATCTGCCGTGATGGGATATACGTACTCTTTGCAGATTTTAATGATTAGAGAGTTAGAGCTTTGGAAAGAGCTGTAAACGTTTTTAACGGAATAAAACATTATTAAAAAATAAACACTCTCTCTTGGCTGTTTCGAGGTCACATGCCATCTAGAAACGGAACTGTTTCCAGCCCGTAAAGACTCCAAGGTTTTTTTTTTTTGATTATGACACTTTTAACTGTTTTTACCCACCATGCTATATATTCACTACAAGCAGGAGCTGTCATGCTGGTATGCTACAAGACGTCAGTGAGCTATCTGTGATTGAATGTAGCCTTAAACTTATAATTCAGTTCTTAAAAGGATTCTATAGACTTTCAAAATCACCTTCTCAGTTGAGCTATTTGCACGCAAGGTAGTATAAGTAGAACTCATACCCTATATGTATTATAAATTTATTAATTTTGTTTTATTAATATTTTTATTATCGTCATCGTTTATTTTTCTTCATTTCTTATTTTATCCGATGCGAGTGAATAGCCTCATCTTATTATATTATTTTGTAATGTTGTATTCCAAGGTTTTTTAATTTGATCATAGACAAGTCACTTCAAGAATATGAAAGGACACTAGCTCTAGAATGGGAATTAAGTTTTCCCTTGGAACTATCAGATTGGATGAAAAGAAATGTTAAACTTAAACATATTGCTATGGCCTTCTCGGTAACTGTTGCCCACCCACCTCCTTACCTAAAGAGATAAGGCTGCCAATTGTTCCAGTTTATCCTGGCTTTAGAGGCTTGATTTCGATCGCTAAAGAGTAACACCATTTCTCTTGCGTAGTCTTTACGGCAACCTTTTTTGACCCAGTTGGCTCGTACGTTAAAGTCTGGCAAAAAGACCACAGAAAACACTTTTTTTGCGATATTCACTCCTCTATATCGTCAGTATCTGTTGTAGATGTTTCTTGTCAGTGTAGACGCGATCGACGTGGCAGTTTATGATATGTGATACTCCGAGACAAAAAATTCTCACCCTTGTGCAGTAAAGCTTATAGTGAGGAGAACAAAATGTTTCTCAAATCTTTATGAGCTTGATGTTAACTAAAACCCATTGAAAATATGTATTTCAATAGCACGTAGAACTGGGTTTGACTACAACCAAAGGCAGTTCGTTAGCGGAGTAAATGACACCTAAGCCAGTTAACCAATTGCAACAACCGTTTTCACCTACAATAACTAAAACCACTCAGTCAATTGATATCAATCTATTTTAAAAAATATTCAGAAATATTAGCCAAAAATACTTCAAATAATAATTACCTGGCATTGCTGTTTGAATTTTAAAGACGAAAGACGCTAGAAGAACCTGAAACCCTGTCCACCAATTACAAATTTACATAAAGTGAGCAACATTATTTAGAAGAAAAAATTGTTAACGTATTAAAAAATCAGGGGTGAAATTATAGCATTTTAAGGGGAAGGAAACAATTTTATTTCGTGTTATGAGGCAAGGAGGAGAAGCTGTTCTTTCAAAATCTGAACATCTTTGTCACTGACTGACAAATAGCAACTTACATTTGTGCTGCATGTTTGAAAATGGCCTGTAGAGATCGGAGGATTGAGGAGATGATCGCTCCTTACCGGCTTCGGGCAGTAAGTTCCTGTTATTGCCGACGAAAAGGGTAATTTTCGAACAGTTACAGTGCAGTTTTAGTATTATGCGCCACACAATCAAAGTAGTTAAAATCTGTTCTTCTTTTAATTTAAGAGACGGGTTGCCAAGTCTAAAGTAAAGCCATAGTAACCTTTTCTCTTAAAATAGGCTGGAGGGGAGTTTAATAATCAAGCTTTTATATAATTTAAATACACAACTGAATCATTTGTTAGCACTGGCTATAACCGGTACCTATTTCTTTTTATGGTATTGATCCTTTTCAAGAATGTCGAGATTCATTCTCTTTGATCAATTGACGTTTCTAAGTTACATACTGACTTTTCAATATCGATTCCTCAACTGCTTTTTAACTTTATATTAACTTCTTTGCCTTGACCTGAGAGTCCTTTGGTTCTATTCTTTGTTGTTGAAAGAGTCGTAATAGACCTTTTGGTAGCCAAAGAAATCTGGGAACTTTTTGAATAGAAAAGGTGAATTGTTTAAAACGAACATTGGACTAATATAACATGTTAGCCGAGTTCAGACGCCTCTCCACTCATGTGCCGAATCTAACTGATGAATTAAGTACGGCAAAAGAGCGGCGTCTGAATCAATTTGGTACGGCTGTTTTAGTTTGGTGCGGCAAAAGCGTTCGACAGTTCGACAGAGTCTGTCAAACTTTTGTCGAACTTAACTTAGGTTCGACACACAGTACGCCGTCTGAATCAGATGTCGCGCCAGTGTCGCTCCAAAGTCGAACTTATTCAGTGAGGTTCGGCACATGAAAAGTACGGCGTCTGAACCAGGCCTAAGTTTCACAATGATTTTAATGTAGCCGATGCGGGAATGTTCCTCTTCCAAAAGACAAGTCGTGGAAGTTATGAGTTCTCCCTTAACTTACAAATCGGCAGTAAATAAGGCCGATTCCTTTACCGATTAATGAATTGCTTTTTCATACAGCATGGAGACAATTATCCTTTTTTGAAGTATACATTTGGCCTTACACAGTACAAGGTGTTACAAATGAACCAGACCTTACTGTGACAACAAGACTAGACCGTTAAGTAAGAAAATCCACTGAGCTAAAGTTCAACCAGTCCATTTTTTATGCAATTCATATCCGGCATCATATTAGGGCCAACCTGCCCGAAAACCATAAGCTCATTGTTTCATTTAAGGTCATCCCCCTTTTTTTTCCTTTAGCGTCGAATGCGTTTCCTGATTTTGGGTTGGTCGGTCGGTCGGATGAAAAAACGTAAAAGGAATTCACACGAAGTGTGAGAATAGGAGGCCTGAAAACCCAAGATCATTGCCGTGGAGCCTGGAAACAACAACACATAGTCCCCAAATCGACACAAACTCAATATGGCTGAAAATATGATGGTTGATGTCCTAGTAAAAAGCAAAAAGGAAATGAGATATACTACAGAAACGTCTATGCCTGACAATGCTGTTATAATGCTAATTTTCCAGATTAAAAGGCTTAATTCAAGTCAAAAAAGGTTCAACTACGTCGTTCCCTTTATTTCTTTTGGAAATGCCAAAAAATTGGGTCGGCTGGACGAAGGTTAACGGAGTAAAAAGGGGATGGACGATAAGAATCCATCCACAAGTTATAGCTGAACCACCATTTAAATAAACGGGACAGACGAAAATAATTAATCAAGCCCTAAGAAATGATTACCATGCTACCAGAATAAGACTGTCATTGAATAGGATGTTGTTTTATGAGGCTGACAGTTTATATTATTTTGCGTGTTAGTTATTTTCTCCTCGGGTACTTATATCCGTTAGTAAGGAGTGGCATAAACCTTGAGAAAGATTTTCAGTTGTCTTTAAGTGAAAAGTAATGGCTGTCAAGCAATTAACTCTTTCGCCTTTTAGGATCATCCTGCTTTAAGACAACCTAAAATAAAATCTGTACAAAGAAGTCTTAGCAAGAAGCTCGTGCTATGAGTCTCTGTCAAAGTCAAAGTTAAAGCAGTGAAATTTTTTCCGAGGAATACTTGATTTCTTTTTCCTTAGTTCTTTCAGCAGCCTATAGAGTGTTTTCACTCACGTGGTTAGCATCTATGCAAATTAATTGAAGTAAAAGAAAGCGTTTGCATAAGAAAAGAGCTCAACTCTCACACGATTGGTTTGGGACACCAACATGGCCGCCGTTGTATTGTTTTGGGACACCAATATGGCCGCCGTGACGTCATGTAAAAACACCCTATAGGGTCCTGGTTCATTTTTAATCCTTTAAATCCTGAGAGTGATCGGCATCAATTTTCTGCGAACAACAGCAATGCATAATCAAGTAGAAAGGTTACAAGATTTACTGAAATGATTACCAAAGGTCTTTAATAAATTCTCTTCACTTATTTTTCAAGGAATGTATGGGAATCCCAGTGTCCGGAGAACTGTTGTATGAGGATATTTAACAATAAATGAATGAGGCTGAGCATCTTATGAAAGGGAACCTCCACTTCAAAAAAAAAGATAACTTTAAATCACAGGAATAACTGTTATGTATCGGTCAAATCGAAGCTTCAACATGCCCCCCCCGGGCAACCCCCCGGGCATTTGACTTTTTTGAAAATTATTGTTCAAATTCCCCCCTACCCGGGCCAAAATGCCGTTCAAATGCCCCACACTGGGGTCCATTTAGGTGATCAAATGCCCCCACCCCGGGGACATTTCACAGGTACAAAAATGACAGAAGGACGGCGGAAACGCCTTCAGATATCGAACAAAATCTTTATAAATATAACAAAAACTGAGAGACACTGTTAGCGTATTTACTACAATCAAAAGTCTCGTGCAAAGAGGCGGAAATCGCTGCTACAAGGTCACTGAATGCTCAGCTTTTCTTCGTCATGCAACATACAAAGCGTTCTATAAAAAAGATCCCACCTATTGAGATTACTACATCATGACCATTTCACTGACATGCATCATCGCTCACCATATTAATTAACAATAAACATACTTGCAGTAGGTCAAAGTAGTTGACCTGAGCTTTTTATTTTATTTTATTTTATGTTCTTGTATTGAATCGCCGGTATAGGCATTTTATTTCATTGTAAACACAACAATAAAATACATTCATACATTCAAAACCTGAATCCAATATTAAAAATTTTAAAATTTAAAAACTTCAAATACGCCACAAAGCTTGTTTTAGCCCTTTCTTCGTACCCAATTGACCACAAAGGCACAATCTTTCCACGAAAATCCTCTAACACCGCGTCCCCCATACCTCGCCACGCCAAAGCTTTTAAATGAAATCGAGGGTGCAGTTCAAATTCCCCACCCCTAAAGCATGGGGATCAAATTCCCCACCCCCTGGAAGACTCTGATAATCAAATTCCCTCCTCCCCGGGACGGCAAGGTGTCAAATGCCCGGGGTATGCCCGGGGGGGGGGGGGCANCTGACAATGCTGTTATAATGCTAATTTTCCAGATTAAAAGGCTTAATTCAAGTCAAAAAAGGTTCAACTACGTCGTTCCCTTTATTTCTTTTGGAAATGCCAAAAAATTGGGTCGGCTGGACGAAGGTTAACGGAGTAAAAAGGGGATGGACGATAAGAATCCATCCACAAGTTATAGCTGAACCACCATTTAAATAAACGGGACAGACGAAAATAATTAATCAAGCCCTAAGAAATGATTACCATGCTACCAGAATAAGACTGTCATTGAATAGGATGTTGTTTTATGAGGCTGACAGTTTATATTATTTTGCGTGTTAGTTATTTTCTCCTCGGGTACTTATATCCGTTAGTAAGGAGTGGCATAAACCTTGAGAAAGATTTTCAGTTGTCTTTAAGTGAAAAGTAATGGCTGTCAAGCAATTAACTCTTTCGCCTTTTAGGATCATCCTGCTTTAAGACAACCTAAAATAAAATCTGTACAAAGAAGTCTTAGCAAGAAGCTCGTGCTATGAGTCTCTGTCAAAGTCAAAGTTAAAGCAATGAAATTTTTTCCGAGGAATACTTGATTTCTTTTTCCTTAGTTCTTTCAGCAGCCTATAGAGCGTTTTCACGCACGTGGCCAGCATCTATGCAAATTTATTGAAACAAAAGAAAGCGTTTGCATAAGAAAAGAGCTCAACTCCCACAGGATTGGTTTGGGACACCAACATGGCCGCCGTTTTATTGTTTTGGGACACCAATATGGCCGCCGTGACGTCATGTGAAAACACCCTATAGGGTCCTGGTTCATTTTTAATCCTTTAAATCCTGAGAGTGATCGGCATCAATTTCTCCTAACAACAGCAATGCATAATCAAATAGAAAGGTTGCAAGATTTAATAAAATGATAATGTCTTTAATAAATTCTCTTCACTTATTTTTCAAGGAATGTATGGGAATCCCAGTGTCCGGAGAACTGTTGTATGAGGATATTTAACATTAATGAATGAGGCTGAGCATCTTATGAAAGGGAACCTCCACTTCAACAAAAAGATAACTTTAAATCACAGGAAATAACTGTTACAGTCAAGTCAATCTAAAATATTTTTAAAGAAAGCGTTTGTATCCGAAAGAAATAACTTTTAGATTCGCCTATTTTTGTTTTCAACTTTTGCGGGCGTCGCCATCTTGAATAATTGTGAAGTGTTACAGTTGCCCTATTGTTATTAAACAAAAGCTCCTTGTGTCAGAACAATAGAGCAACCGTAACACGTCACAATTATTCAAGATGGCGCGCCCGCGAAATTTGAAAGTGAAAATAAGCGATTTTAAAATTGACTTTTCCTGATATAAACACTTTTTTTTTAAGGACAAATTTCGAACAAATTTGTTTATCAACATAATTTTATTCGATTTAAACTTATTCTGTAGTAAGAGTGGAGGTTCCGTTGAAGAATTATGGAGATCGAGGAGGGAGATATTCGTCGAGGCCGTAGGCCGAGGTGGATAACACCCTCCGAGATCTCCATAATTCTTCATATGATACGAAAGCCGAATTCAAAAGGCGGAATTGAAAGGCGGTCAAGCATTCTCTGTATGACAGGTGCCTGTAGCAAGTGGTTGATGAAGGTCTTGCTTCTTCAAATCTTTTTAACGGGTATCCCAGCGGTGTATTCAAAGGAAAGTGAATTGTGATCTAGGCAACACGCTATTATAGCAGGGATGTTATTATGGCTGTAAGCAATACAGGCTCTAAAAACACGAGCATGGGGAAAAGATATGTTGAAACGATTTCCTCGAGAGATTTACTCAAATTTTGCGCTTTTGTAGGCGCTATTTGTGTCTTTTTTCTCGGAGGAATTTACACGAACTCAAGTGATCTGTCTGACAATCAGAAATCAAGGGAGATAAGAAGTCGTCGTTCATTGCCGGATTTTAAATCCCAACTCTTGAATTCATTTAAAGCAGAAAACCTTGAGGAAAATTTACGGTGAGTGAACGAGATACAAAGTGTGGGATTCACTAAATGCTGTTTCAGAAAACTGTTTATAATGGGAAATTTTGTTTGTTATGAATAAATGCCATGAATAAACCCACTGGGACTTGAAACTGACTGACCCGTTGAGAAGAACCGTGATGTTAATTTTGACATTTTTGTTTTGCTTTACATTCAGATATTTAACTGAAGAGCCGCATTTTGCCGGTTCGAGGCGGAATAATGACTTGGCGCGTCATATTGCCGCAAAATGGAAAGACTATGGTTTTGATCAAGTAGAACTGACTCGATACGATGTTTTGTTGACTACACCACACAAGGATTTGAAAAATAAAGTGGAAATACATCGAAATGGCGAAGTTGTGTTCGAGGCGCAGCCCTATGAAAAGGCAAGTGACACTATTTGTGTTTATTTCAGTACTCTGTACTAATATTCGCACGGATAAATGAATTTAATTCTAAAATTGGGGCGCGTGATGGAGGAGGGGGGAGGGACGGCGGGGACTGTTGATGTTTGAAAATGTGGTTTGTCAAGAGAGTTGCTACATTCTCGTGGTAGTAAACTGATCGTTGAATTAAAGGGACTCTGTGGCGCCCGGCAAGGGTTGATTGTAAAGTATAAATAACTTTCTAAATAATATGTATATTGTAAAATGATCACATAATCTGTGCTTGTCTAATCACCGCATTGTAGTCAGTTTTGTTTAGTTTTGTCTTGACCACTGGCCAAGAAACGCGTTCAGTTCCAAAATAAAATGTGTTTTTTCATACCCCTATCAAAAACGCCTAATTTCACACGGCATTAAACGCAATTTCCGTCAGAAAATCTCAACTGTAGACATAACAAGAACTGGAGACATAACCTGTTAAGTAAACACAAAGAAATTAGAGTTATTGTGATAAACCATATTTACTCTGAACGGACTTAACGCAGTAAGAATCTACAGGTGAAATTTAAGGGAAATGGGTGGAGTCAAAATGGCCGAAAATATTGCGATTCAAAAACCCTCTGATGGATTTTTTTCAAATCTTACCAAGGTAAAGACAAGGATCCAAACTATTAGCACATTAGAGGATTTTAACAGATTACTACTAGATTTATCATAATTTCGAGAAAATACCCAATTTGTAGATTTCAGTGGTGAGGTCAGCAAAACATAGTCTAAAATTAAGTTTAATCTTGGATACGTTGTTTCAGTTTAAGACTTTTCGGTACATGCATTACAGCCAAAGATATGAAGCATCAAAAACGAAGGGGCGAAACAAAGAGATTACATAGAAAACGCAAAGTAAATAATGGTAATAATAGAAAGGCGAAACCGACCAAGCGATTTGTATGCGCGCGAATTCGAAAGAAAATTTGTGTCTGAAGGAAACGGCAAAGTACGCAATCCGGGTAAAACGCTTATCCTTTCGAAAAGCCAACCAAAACACAGAATTCGCTTCATCTGACCAATCTCTTTCACAGATTTCTCTCCCGCTAGTCTTTCAACCGTAGGGACGATAGGAGAGGACTACTCTGTGAACAAGGTTGTCATCTTGCCAAGGAGCCACGCCAAGTAATACTGCCTATTAGTAATTACTGTGAAACTCACAAAACCGTAGCCTGAAATTCATCCGATTGCTTCGAGTCGTTTTCTCCTCTCAACAACGTCTGAATCGACCGGCCGATGAAGATCAAAATCTCGCCTTAGTACGGGAAGTTCTCATAACAGAACCATATCGTTTTAAAGCAAGATCTAGAACAACGGAAAGCGAAAAAGTCTGGCAACAAATAGCTGATAACCTGAACTCCGATCATATCCTCAAGTTTCCCTCGAAGAAATTCGGTTTTTTTTTAGAGAAACTGGAGTAATAAACGGCAGCACAAATTTTTCTTCCAATAAAAGATCGTTAAGGTATCAATCAAGCAAGACTTCACGAGTTATGGAATTAAAAGACGAAAGCATTACTATATCCTCTCTCGTCAGGCGAGCACTCAACCCAACCTGCTCAATCTTAATTTGTTTTTCCCGCAAAGGTGGCGGCGTCCTCGCTCCAGGCTTTCTCCGTTCTCTTTACCGCCGCGTCCAGGGTATCTTAAGGTCCCTAATTATTCAAGATGGCGGCGCCCGCGAAATTTCAAAGTGAAAATAAGCGATTTTAAAATTGACTTTTCCTGATATAAACACTTTTTTTTAAGGACAAATTTCGAACAAATTTGTTTATCAACATAATTTTATTCGATTTAAAATTATTCTCTAGAAAGAGTGGAGGTTCCGTTGAAGAATTATGGAGATCGAGGAGGGAGGTATTCGTCGAGGCCGTAGGCCGAGGTGGATAACACCCTCCGAGATCTCCATAATTCTTCATATGATACGAAAGCCGAATTCAAAAGGCGGAATTGAAAGGCAGTCAAGCATTATCTGTATGACAGGTGCCTGTAGCAAGTGGTTGATGAAGGTCTTGCTTCTTCAAATTTTTTTTAACGGGTATCCCAGCGGTGTATTCAAAGAAAAGTGAATTGTGATCTAGGCAACACGCTATCATAGCAGGGGATGTTATTATGGCTGTAAGCAATACAAGCTCTAAAAACACGAGCATGGGGAAAAGATATGTTGAAACGATTTCCTCGAGAGATTTACTCAAATTTTACGCTTTTGTAGGCGCTATTTGTGTCTTTTTTCTCGGAGGAATTTACACGAACTCAATTGATCTGTCTCACAATCAGAAATCAAGGGAGATAAAAAGTCGCCGTTCATTGCCGGATTTTAAATCCCAACTCTTGAATTCATTTAAAGCAGAAAACCTTGAGAAAAATTTACGGTGAGTGAACGAGATACAAAGTGTGGGATTTACTAAATGCTGTTTCAGAAACTGTTTATAATGGGAATTTTATTTGTTATGAATAAATGTTATGAATAAACCCACTGGGACTTGAAACTGACTGGCCCGTTGAGAAGAATTAACCGTGATGTTAATTTTGACATTTTTGTTTTGCTTTACATTCAGATATTTAACTGAAGAGCCGCATTTTGCCGGTTCGAGGCGGAATAATGACTTGGCGCGTCATATTGCCGCAAAATGGAAAGACTATGGTTTTGATCAAGTAGACCTAACTCGATACGATGTTTTGTTGACTACACCACACAAGGATTTGAAAAATAAAGTGGAAATACATCGAAATGGCGAAGTTGTGTTCGAGGCGCAGCCCTATGAAAAGGCAAGTGACACTATTTGTGTTTATTTCAGTACTCTGTACTAATATTCGCACGGATAAATGAATTTAATTCTAAAATTGGGGCGCGTGATGGAGGAGGGGGGAGGGACGGCGGGGACTGTTGATGTTTGAAAATGTGGTTTGTCAAGAGAGTTGCTACATTCTCGTGGTAGTAAACTGATCGTTGAATTAAAGGGACTCTGTGGCGCCCGGCAAGGGTTGATTGTAAAGTATAAATAACTTTCTAAATAATATGTATATTGTAAAATGATCACATAATCTGTGCTTGTCTAATCACCGCATTGTAGTCAGTTTTGTTTAGTTTTGTCTTGACCACTGGCCAAGAAACGCGTTCAGTTCCAAAATAAAATGTGTTTTTTCATACCCCTATCAAAAACGCCTAATTTCACACGGCATTAAACGCAATTTCCGTCAGAAAATCTCAACTGTAGACATAACAAGAACTGGAGACATAACCTGTTAAGTAAACACAAAGAAATTAGAGTTATTGTGATAAACCATATTTACTCTGAACGGACTTAACGCAGTAAGAATCTACAGGTGAAATTTAAGGGAAATGGGTGGAGTCAAAATGGCCGAAAATATTGCGATTCAAAAACCCTCTGATGGATTTTTTTCAAATCTTACCAAGGTAAAGACAAGGATCCAAACTATTAGCACATTAGAGGATTTTAACAGATTACTACTAGATTTATCATAATTTCGAGAAAATACCCAATTTGTAGATTTCAGTGGTGAGGTCAGCAAAACATAGTCTAAAATTAAGTTTAATCTTGGATACGTTGTTTCAGTTTAAGACTTTTCGGTACATGCATTACAGCCAAAGATATGAAGCATCAAAAACGAAGGGGCGAAACAAAGAGATTACATAGAAAACGCAAAGTAAATAATGGTAATAATAGAAAGGCGAAACCGACCAAGCGATTTGTATGCGCGCGAATTCGAAAGAAAATTTGTGTCTGAAGGAAACGGCAAAGTACGCAATCCGGGTAAAACGCTTATCCTTTCGAAAAGCCAACCAAAACACAGAATTCGCTTCATCTGACCAATGTCTTTCACAGATTTCTCTCCCGCTAGTCTTTCAACCGTAGGGACGATAGGAGAGGACTACTCTGTGAACAAGGTTGTCATCTTGCCAAGGAGCCACGCCAAGTAATACTGCCTATTAGTAATTACTGTGAAACTCACAAAACCGTAGCCTGAAATTCATCCGATTGCTTCGAGTCGTTTTCTCCTCTCAACAACGTCTGAATCGACCGGCCGGTAATGCCGTCCAGTGACGTCACTCACTACCCGAAAACCGGGTAGTGATTTTGATTGGTTGATTGCCTAAACATTCGCATAATTATGTATAATTATGAAAAATTTTGGCGGGATTGTCGCTTGATATTCAGCGGATCGCATCACTGGCATTCTTTCGTTTAGTTCAAAAATTTCGATAAGCTTAATCTTTATCTTAACCAGCAAAATTGCCCTTGTCTTCGAAACTGACATGCTAAATTGAACTGAGAATGAAGAATCATTGCGGAGAGTAGGTAGGTTTTTCATTTAGAGCCGCTTTGTGGCAGCGGCCGGTGATTACGCAAAGTTTTCTGAGATCAATGTTATAATTCGGCCTTCTTGCTATTTTCAACGTCAAGTGTAATGATTCTGTTAGCTTTTCTTTCTTGTCTCCTTGCTTTTTTCTTCGTTAAGGACCAAATAGTTTTTTTTCAATTAAAGCAAATCATTGTGTTTTTGAACTAAGTGTTCCGTGTGTGTCGTGTGTGTGTTTATTTCATTGCGTGATTGCGACCGAGTTTGATTATAGAATTTAGTACGACCGGTTCCGATTTTTACTGCATGCAGTTGATAGTTTAAACGTTAAACATGAATTATCATCGAAAAAAATAAAGCAGTTCCGTATCATGCAGACATTTCCAAACGATATTTCTCGGTTTGCCACTTGAAAATGATGTTTTACTTTTTGCATGAATTAAAGCAAAGGTCAAGGAGTAGTGACGTCACTGGACGGCATTAACGGCCGGTCGATTCAGACGTTACTGAGGGAGTAATAACGACTCGAAGTAATCGGATGAAATTCAGGCTAACAAAACCGTGAACACCAGAAATATTTATGGAATGTTATTGTGTTGCGAGAAATAAGCCAATAAGGCGCGAGATAACGAAACCGCAAACAGCAACGGTAATAGACCTTTTTACCGATACGGCGGCCATATTGAATGAACTCGGTTTAAGGAGTATTATAGGATGCCCAGGGGGCATGAGCACATTTCGTTTCTATTTTCGAGCGCTTTTCGGGACATTTTTTCTCAAAATGTTCTTAGAATAAGATTGTAATGGGAAAAAAGATCCTTGTGCTGTGTTTGGATGTAATAATGATCCCCTTTTTCTAGTTTAGTATTAGAAATATGGTCTTTACTGTATATTTCTCGGCAAAAAGGCGATCATTATTACATAAAAACACTGCACAAGGATCTTTTTTCCCATTACAATCTTATTCTAATAAAACTTTAAGAAAAAATGTTCCGAAAAGCGCTCGAAAATACAAACGAAATGTGCTTATGCCCCTGGGCATCCTATAATACTCCTTAAATCGAATTAATTCAATATGCCCGCCGTATCGGTAAAAAGGTCTATTAGTTTGTTATTTTGAGGTTTGCTTGCGTATCCTCCTGAACTTTATTGTGATTGGCCAGTACACAATCAACATTCCTGAATTAAATTTTTCAGGTGTTCACGGTCTTCTGAGTTTGACAGTAAAAGAAACTGTATCGCGAAATCTATCAAAATTCAAACAGAGGGGACTGCCACCAAACTGCGTGAAACATTAAAATAAGAGCTCAAAACGTTGGAAGAAGGTTTTAAATGAAAAAGTAAAAAAAAAATTGAAAAAGATTGCAATTGTAGTTTTTGAAAACTTGTTACAATAACAGTTTTTCAAAGTTCATTGTTGTTATTTGTAACGTTTGAAATCATGATTGGGAGACATTTTTGTTTACACCTACCTGTGATTTTTCGAGAATTTGTCATTCAAAAGGGATCTGCCAAGTTCCATAGCGAATGAAGACGCTTATGGCATTAGAATGAACTATACAAAAACACTATGACCAAACCCATTTTTAATAAAGTTGTTTTAAATATCCAGCCATCCTAACACAGGCATCATATTCTGACTTTTCTAAAGGCTCTACGACAAGACGAAGTAAAAGGTGAAAAGATTCCGATTCTCCTCGGTTTTTCACCAAGTGGAAGAGTGAAAGGAGAAGTGGTGTATGCCAATTTCGGGACGGAAGAAGATTTCGGAAAGCTGAAAGACTTGGGCGTGTCTGTAAAGAACAAAATTGTCATCATTCGTCAGGGAAGAATTTTCAGGGGTAATAAGGTACGTTCTTTACCACCCATCCCCCCCCGGCCCCCGCGAGTACTGAACAAAGCATATGCCTTCTATTAAAAAATGGTACCCTTTCACGTAGCTAGTAGAGAACTTTGCATTCCTTTTAACTTGTTATGTACTCTCTTTAAAATATGAACAAATCACAAAACCAGAGCGTTTCTTCGACTTCTTACAGCCATAAAGTAAATCGTTAGCCCTTGTCGGATTTTTTACAGACCGAGATGGACATATTTGCCTACCCTCAGATATACTTCAACTGCACTGTAAATCCGAAAGATCTGTTTTACCCCTAAAAATGGGGCCGTTTTGGTGAGTAAAATACAGTCCTATCTTTGAGTTTAATTTGCTCCCTTAAATCAGGGCCAATACAGTGCAATTAGCTAGGGCTGATTTGGTCCCAATGGCTTGAATGAGCCCCAGCGTGGGCTCGAATAAATAGCCTTTTGATTGAGCTTTTTTGGACTAAATTATTGTGCTCCAATGGCTCCAGGGAGGGTTGAATCAGACTTTGGCCTGCAGTGCTGAATTGACACGTTGGGGCTGAAACAGATCTTTTTAATTTTCAGTGTTGTGAAACCCTTTTCTTTCATACACCTGAGGCCCAAAAAAGGTACCCCTTTCGGGCGGAGCCTTAGTCTGAGAAAACAGCCGACATTTGGCGACGCTACCACTGGTTTTCCCCGCCAAATGACGTCTGAGAAACGAGCGCAGAAATTCCATACTGACGACGCGTCACTACCCATGCGAACTAGATAGTGCTTCTGATTGGTTGAATCAAATTTCCCACGCGGCATGACCAATCAGAAGCACTACCCAGTTCTGGTTAGTGACGCGTCATCAGTATGGAATTTCTGCGCTCGTTTTTCAGACATCATTTGGCGGGGAAACCAGTGGTAGCGTCGCCAAATGTCGGCTGCTTTCTCAGGCTAGCGGAGCCTCCCCGTATAGGCCATTTGATTAGAGGAATCGAACCTGTCACTATGGTTTTTCCCTCAGGAAGCAGGATGGATGGGAAGAGTTAAAAAACAAACAAACAAACAAACAAACAACAACAACAAAATGCAAAAGTTTAATTTTAGATATGCGAAGTTGAGCTTTTCATTATCCAGCAAAATATACTGAGTCGATGTGTTGATGTTTAGTTAAAGATTTTCAAAGATTTCAAATAATTAAACATTTAGTTGGGAAAAATTTCAATTCTGACGCATGCGACTTTCATAACGATTTCCTCCGTTTTCTTTCACTAGCCAGATTGATGAGCTCGAAATGAGTAAATATTGTCGGTTTGGATGTTTCAAAAATTAATTTAAAGTACGGTTGTGTGCATGTTAATTATCATAACTGTTTATTGTTTACCTTATCATTGACTGATCGCTGTTGATTTGTCATCATGAATCATCATTGGTTGTATGTGACGACTAAACTCATTGTTGTCAATGACAACCAGCTTTNAAAGATTTCAAATAATTAAACATTTAGTTGGGAAAAATTTCAATTCTGACGCATGCGACTTTCATAACGATTTCCTCCGTTTTCTTTCACTAGCCAGATTGATGAGCTCGAAATGAGTAAATATTGTCGGTTTGGATGTTTCAAAAATTAATTTAAAGTACGGTTGTGTGCATGTTAATTATCATAACTGTTTATTGTTTACCTTATCATTGACTGATCGCTGTTGATTTGTCATCATGAATCATCATTGGTTGTATATGACGACTAAACTCATTGTTGTCAATGACAACCAGCTTTGTTTTCTTCAATTACAATTTTGAAGGTCTTTAACTCCGCCTTCCACGGTGCAGTGGGGGCCATTATTTACACTGATCCAGCACAGTTTGCCCCTGAAGGAACCCAAAACACTTTCCCTCATTCCTGGTGGCTTCCAGACTCCGGCACCCAGCGTGGATCATCTTTGGGCGAGGCGGGACCTGGTGACCCACTAACTCCAGGATACCCTTCTATTGACGGCATTTACCGAAACAAAATTGACAAAAGTGGCTTACCAAAAATTCCTGCTGCTGCAATGTCATACAAGGATGCCAAGGAGATATTACGACGAATGAAAGGTAATGAACTTCAGGCAACTAATTAGTAAAGAAAAAACACACAAAATGCAAGAAGCTGTTATCAATGAAGCAGACAAAAAAATCAATGTCACCACCTAGACAGTACGCCATTCTTTTCGCCCGAGTTCATTTTTCACACCATAATTTTTATATAGTATTTTTTTGAATTTTCACGCATTTCTCCGAGATTTCTGTAGTCTGGCAGCCGAATTTTTTTTTAAAGATGTACAATCTTATGGCTATTCGTCCATTTGATTCCCACCCTGCAATCGGCGCCCTTAACCCTTTAAGCCCTAAGAGTGATCAGCATCAAATTTCTCCTTGTAATATCAATGCTTTGTCAAACAGAGTGGTCATGAGAATTAGGGACATGATCCGCACAAGATGAATTTGCTTGATATTTTATAAACTTCTCAGCACTATTTCTGTGAAAAATGAATAGGGGCAACAAATGAGAATTCAAATTTTGATGTTAGGGTTTAAAGGGTTAACCATAAGAGGAACCGAATATCAGGCGTCCAATGAAAGGTAATGAACTTCAGGCAACTAATTAGTAAAGAAATTGCACACAAAATGCAAGAGGCTGATATCAATGAAGCAGACAAAAAACCAATGTCACCACCTAGACAATATTCCATTCCTTTTGCGTGAGTTCATTTTTCGCACCATGAGTTTTACATTTTACATAGTATTTTTTTGAATTTTCACGCATTTCTGCAGTCTGGTAGCAAATTTTTTTTTAAAGCGGTACGATCTTATGGCTATTCGTCCATTTGATTCCCACCCTGCAATCCGGCGCCCTTAACCATAAGAGCAACCGGGCTTTCTTAGGGCTCTCTTTGCTTGATTATCTGTTATAATAACTGTAATTCATCAAATTAACCTACTGTGAACCAAACCTGGCTGACCTCTGTCCTGTAAGGAATTGTTTAGTGAGTACCTTGGCCTGTTATTGTCAGTTTTTGCAAGGCCTTTGTGGCATCTTCTGGGCGGGTGCGGTTCTCTTTCACTGTCTTGAAGACTTTTGACTCTTGAAGGCCGTTTGTTTTTAAACTCCTACAGCGGCGTGGAAGAAATTTATCATGTAATATCATGGGTGACAAATTACTTCATAATTGTGGCGAGTAATTTCAGCGTTGATTTATAATTACACATGTGAAATTACAAAATTGCCAAGGCAACGTTTCGTGCGTCTCAGTGCCAAGATGGTGTCAAGGTTAAAAATGTTATGAATGGAGATGTCAGGCACCATAATTTTCGTCATTCGTTACGTTTTAATCATTCCTGGGTGTAAAAACATGAAAATTCCTTTCACAACCCTGAGGCTCTAAAACCCTTTTATGTCGGAGGTATCATTTAATGCAAAGTACGATGATAATTTACTTTTGAAGGACCCAAGGCACCAAAGAGCTGGCAGGGGGGCCTGGAACTCACTTATTACCTGGGGCCCGGGTTTTCGGACAAAAACTTGTCACTCCATTTGGATATCAACAACAAACTGGAAACTAAAGCTATTTACAACGTCATTGGTCAAATCAGGGGGTCTGAGGAACCCGATCGCTATGTTCTTGTCGGAAATCACCGAGACGCATGGGTTTTTGGGGCAGCTGATCCGAGCAGCGGTACATCTGTGCTCATGGAGTTATCACGTGGTCTAGGTAATTTGCTAAAAGCAGGATGGCGGCCGCGTCGGACTATATTTCTTTGCAGCTGGGACGCGGAAGAGATCTTTGTCGTTGGTTCAACGGAATGGGTCGAAGAAAACGCTCAAGTTCTTCAAGGTCGAGCGGTCGGTTATCTCAATACAGACGTGACGGTGAACGGAAATTTCAGCTTAAATGTTGACGCCTCTCCTTTGCTTCAAGATGTGGCCATTTCCTTGACTAAGGAAGTTTGTGATCCTACAGTTCCACACACTTGTAGAAGCATGTATGATGTCATGTTAGAAAGAGATGTCACTAAACATGCCAACGGCATTGCAGTCTGTGATAATCTGGCTTTTGGCAGTGACTACGCTGCTTTTTATCACTTTATTGGAGTCTCCTGCGCTGATTGGTCATATATCTTTGGAGGCACGCATGGAATAAGGCGATCTTACCCAGTTTATCATTCTATACACGACACGTTTTATTGGATAAAAAAATTTGTCGATCCCGAATTCAAAATACATCTCGCTGTGACGAAATACACGGCTATTTTTCTGCTGGAATTATCCGACTCAGCTCTGTTACCTTTTAATACGCAGACTTACGGAGAACTTCTCCAGTCTAAAGCTAAGAACTTGAAAACGAATTCTCAGTTTCAAGTCCACAACATCAGCACAGATGCATTCATGCGCTCGGTGAAGAACTTCGCGAAAATATCTCGCGAGTTTGAGAAAAGCAAGGCAAAAAGCAGTAAGAAGGAATTTCGTACTCTAAACGATCAGATGATGCAAGTTGAAAAAGCATTTGTGCAAACAATAGACAAGAACAATCCTAAACAGTTGAGGCATGTTATTTTCGGGCCTAATCTTGCGAACCTCTATGGAGGAGTTTACTTCCCTCGGGTAAATCATGCTATTGAAATGGCAAGAAAAACAGGAGACTGGGAATTAGTTAAAAAGGAGATTTCCGTACTGACGTATTCGATCAATTCTGCTGCAAGCGTTCTAAAACGTATATGAAAAAAAAAAAAGTATCATAACAGTAAAAACTAAAATGATAGAGGTGTCTTATTGCTTTTTTCTTCTCAGTTGTTTCAAAACGAAAACATATAGCAAAGACAGACGTACCAGAGTTCGAAATCGCACGGTATAAACAGAACAGCAAACATGTACATTCAACAGAAACAGCTAGAAACTACTAAATGCTATTTATTCCTATTCTACTTTATTCCATTTACTTCATGTAAAATATGGTAGAAAGAAATACAGAAATGATGCATTTTAAGATTAATTAGACTTTTATATGACTCGAACTCAATTGTTTCTTTGCAGTTAAGTTTCAGCTTTAATTCAATGTGCTAAGAGGAATGTTAATATGCTGCGATCACAAATTATGCTTCGAGCGCTCGAAGAACGGCATAAGAGATTGAAATCAGTAGTAAAGAATAGAGCGAGGGGACAGACAAAGACAACGATCCACTTTTGCTGTTAGGCTTCCCTCCCCTGTTCACGTGCTTCTCACATGATTTCTGCTTGCTCTCGCTGAGACATAAGGCGTAATCCATCACGTGAAATACGTACTGCTGTTCCACTACACCATGGAATAGGTAGGCCCCAGGTCCGTCCGCGAATACGCCTGCAAAACAACAATAATAAGAAAAATAATACAAAGATTTAACCAGAGTTAAAAGCAAAGCCTCCATTTACATACTTATCATAAAAGCAATTAACCTAGTGTATATAACTAGCAATAACCAAAGGTTGCAGAGTGCGGGCGACAATGATCGGTAACCTACGATCAGGCGTTTCTTTTTTTCACGCTCTTGCTCCATCGCTGCGCTTTGTGTAAGTTTCACGTGACAGATGTTCAAAACACGCGTGATTAGATTACGAGTGATGGAAGGTCTAAAAGCGCGTGATCAAATTGCGTTCTGTACGTGCATTCCATACATTTTTAGTGGAAATCCAAACGAAAGCTGGCTACATACATGCGACGCATGCGTAGTAACAACATGGAGATTATGATTGCTGGCTCCTCTTGTCGCCTGCCATTAAACTTAAGCCACTAAAAAGAATCCTCCTTTAGAGGGATAGGAGAGGCTGGTTGATATCCCGCAAACACGCCTAAAATGAAATCTCTCCCATCAAGCTAAAAGTCTTATATTTACCCGGTGTTTACAACGTAAATTAAAAAATAAAACGAGAAAAAAAAGTAAATCGTTTTAGTGCACGATACTCTACGATAGCAGCCAATTTATAGGTTGTGAGTTGTAGAGTCAATATTTCTGGCTAATTATAAAGGAAAGATTTAAAATAAAAATCTGGCCGACTTTTCAGTGTTCGCCGTAACTTTATTATGTTTCGGGTTTTCTATCGGGCTCGGACGAACAGTTATGTGTATAGCGGCCTTAACATTTGTACAGTCACAGATCTAAAAACACATATCACTATAAGTTACCGTTTGTTTCATTCGGTGACAGACCTGGGACAGTAAATAACTTATTTAATCATTTCGGCTACCAGTATTGAACAGGCGTGCGGTCACGTGACTACCGAATTTTCTTAGGATGATAAATAACAAATTTTCTGAGCTATGGGGCTCCGCTAATAATAAAAATCATCATCATCATCATCATCATCATAATCAGAACTATAAAATATTCGCTAATTCTGATTAGCTATGGCAACCATGATTTCAGCATCAGAACAGTTCACCTCCTGCCTACGTAATTATTGGACAGAACGCGCCACGTCTGGTAGTGAGCGCTCGAGGATCTTGATTTTAATTTTTTTAAAAAGTTGAAATTATCACAAATTTCAATGTAGCTATTACAGAACTTCCTGTCGTCCAATTCGGTTGGTAACCATACTCACGATTAAAAAGATTGGACTCCCGCAATCTGTCTAACCACTCTTATGATTATTGATTGAATAAGATTTAACTTTATAAATTAGAATCATAATCTTAAAGAAAAAGGAGAGGAAACTGAAGAATAAATGCTAGTATTTCAATTTTAAAGAAGCTCCTTCTTGTTTTATCTGGGATATAAGACGAGGAAATGAAGCAGTTGCAAGGCAAACAGGAGCTGTTGTAGTGTTCAAAAGGAAAGTTTAAGTTGGACTTATTCTTCTCAGAAAAATCATCAATATCAGTACCATGGCAACCGTTTTTGCGCTAGGCACTGCTCTAAGTTCTGGGCGCTTTAACAGACGACAATTTTTTGGTCCGATTCTCACCAACATCTTCCGATCCATGACTCTCGCTTTCCGCAAGGAGAACTGTAGCCTGCTGAAGAAAGTCCTTGTCAGCGGTGTCTATATTGCGCAGGTCTTGACGAGATCCGTTCAGTCCACCTGGTCCGTCTGCGTACCCAAGGGTGGTGTATGTTCTGTTCTCCGTGTCCACAGTTAAAGTATTGTCTACCTCTTGTATTATACCAAACACAGGGTTCCCACGTTTGGGGTATCCACCGATGGTAAAGACGTGAGAGTGGTCGGCTGTTACTGTTATCAGTGTTTCGTCTGAAGATTCAGGTAATAGTTAATAAGTTTAACAAATGCACATTTCAAAAGTGTAGTGCATTGCACAGCATTTGCATAGAAATGTGGTACCTTTTTTACTCAATCAATGGAAAGAAACATGCATTATTACTCTCAACACCAAAGGGAGATAGACGGTATTCAGTAATGTAAAAAAAAAAACCATAACAGATTTGAAAGTTACATGATTTCTTAATTATTTCTGGAGCAGTCAGTAAGGAAATAGTTCTCTCAATATTCAGGCGTCCGGGATGAGAAGCTAGGTCCCATAATAAACTCAGCCACCGCAGTCTTGGAGACGGGGGAAGGGAGTTCAATCGAAGAGTAAGAGGCAGTGGCGGATCCCGGGGAGGGGCCGGGGAGCCCCCCCCTTATTTTTAGACCAAAATAAGACCGGGCGCCCCCTTATCTCAGAGTCTGGACGACCCCCCCGCCCCGCCCCTTATCGGAAGGTCTGGATCTGCCACTGAGAGGGGCGTTTTTGATCGTAGAAATGTGTAATGAGGAATGACATGTCACAAGTAAAACAATGGTCTATACAGCTAACCCAGCTCCTGGATTTGTGAAACTGGTCTGTCTCTTCGATCAATAACGATTTAGTGAAGAGAAACCCAGATGTTAAGGACTTTCTTTTGGGGACAATAAGGTACAGATTTTATGCTGGTATGATGTGGGGATTAAGAGAAATGGTAAACAGAACGGTAAAATGAAGAGAAAATGGTGTCATCCCTTTCTCACAAATTCTTTTGAGCGCTATGAAACTCCTATTAACAGGCCTGATAACAGTCTTAAAAAAATAAAGACTGTTTATGATCGGCTTCTTTTTGATAAATGGCAAAGTATCACAGGCAAACTGCCAGTTATAGTAAATGAGTTTGAAATCGTTATCACCTAATGGAAAACAAAAATACAGATGGCATGCACTTGATAAAAAACAATGGGCAATGATTTACCTTTGTTATCTCCCACACTTTAGTATTTTAATATCTCTTTTCACTGCATGTTTCTCAAACATAAGTTATGTCCTTCTGTTCTAATTAGATTTTATTTACAGATGAAAAGCACTTTGATTTCTGTCATAACAAGCAAGATCAAGCCTGCCTTACTACTTTCTAAAGGCCCGGTAACTGTGAGCATGTATATCTGTAGGTTAAGGATGGGGCACCAGATTGCTATTAGCACGTGGTACGTTGTTTATCCCTTAATTACTTCCTTCCCCCCCTTTATTTCTCATAAAATGTTTCGTACCTAAGACGTGATCGACTTCCTCAACATTAATCTTCTCAAACTCAGTTTTGTTCCAGACGTATTTCGAATTCTGGTGTTTATTGACCCACTCTTTAATCAGGTCTCTGCCATCCAGTCTCTCTCCTTTTTTATCCGGGTATTCGGGATCTGTCTGATTCTTATGCATGAGTTTCCTGCGGCCGCCAGCGAATACAACCTCGATGCCATCTCCATAGGGATACTCAACAAGTTGTAAGGCTGTAATTACAAAATAAGGTAAACTGCTAACAGTCAAATCAAAGCAGTCAATTCAAAATCAAATGAAAACAGTTAAATTAAATCAATTCCAATCAATGCGAACATTCTGTACGAATCGCAGTTTTATACAAGTACCTGGCTTCAGGCTTGGAAAATAAAAAACACAATGAAATTAGAACTGGCATGGGTACACTTTTAAATCGTTACCACTCTTACACAGTCCTCTACTCACTGGTGGTACTCGATGGCCTCATGTTTATCGGTTCATTTTGTAGCTGTATGCATTAAACAGTAAAACGTTCAACAACAAATTTCTCTATTTTGCTAAAGAAAAAAAAAACACTCTTTGATCTAATATTGCGTAGTTTACTATAATTGAAATCTGGCAGTCTCACTTACAAGTACAGACAGGAAAGGGGTTGACCTTGCTCGTACTCCGTTTCCCTTCAAAGGGCTAGGCCCGGTAATAGTTAGAAAATGCCTCTATTTACAATGAACATGCTCAAAGCGCATTATTAGAATTATTAATAAATCTGAATAAATCACATTTCAATGCTCATACAGACCCCATCTTGAAGGACCGCGGTATACTAAAATTTAATGATATCCATTTGCTTCAACTGGGCCAATTTATGTTTTCTTGCAAAAATTCGTTCTTACCTCCAAGGCAGTTTAATAACAATTTCTCCCAAAGCAATCAATTCCTTTCTTACAATACAGGGAATTCCCAGGCCTTCCGTCTACCGTATTGTCGAACAAACACTAAGAAGTTCTCGCCCTTTTTTAAGACCTACGTTGTTTGGTTCACTTGTCGACGAGGTCATCAACTCTCAATCCCTTTCCTCTTTAAGGAAAATACTAAAGATTAAATTATTAAGTAAATATGAAAACCGATCATAGATCTTTCCAACTTTGACTTTTCGCTAACTTTTCTTCAACTGATGTTAAACAGCTCTAGCCCGTAGTTCGAGGTGGCCTAACCCCTTATAAGTTCCTATAGTTTCTGTTAGGTCTCCTCGTCACTTCTTTTTTCTACTTTTTTTATATTACTTGTAATTTCTATTATTGTGTTGCAAATAAAAAATGATAATAATAATAGTAAAAAAAAATAAACACTCCTACCTATGTCCTTGCACTTGGAACCATCATCTCCAACACTCTTATTAATATTGGCGTCACTTTCCCAGCCACGGTTTGCTGAGTGAGCATATGAACACGCGGGAGTTGCGTGTGTGACTCGCGTGGTGGTGACGATTCCCGTTGACATTCCAGCCTTCTCCGCAAGGCGATCTTACCCAGTTTATCATTCTATACACGACACGTTTTATTGGATAAAAAAATTTGTCGATCCCGAATTCAAAATACATCTCGCTGTGACGAAATACACGGCTATTTTTCTGCTGGAATTATCCGAATCAGCTCTGTTACCTTTTAATACGCAGACTTACGGAGAACTTCTCCAGTCTAAAGCTAAGAACTTGAAAGCGAATTCTCAGTTTCAAGTTCACAACATCAGCACAGATGCATTCATGCGCGCGGTGAAGAACTTCGCGAAAATATCTCGCGAGTTTGAGAAAAGCAAGGCAAAAAGCAGTAAGAAGGAATTTCGTACTCTAAACGATCAGATGATGCAAGTTGAAAAAGCATTTGTGCAAACAATAGACGAGAACAATCCTAAACAGTTGAGGCATGTTATTTTCGGGCCTAATCTTGCTAACCTCTATGGAGGAGTTTACTTCCCTCGGGTAAATCATGCTATTGAAATGGCAAGAAAAGCAGGACACTGGGAATTAGTTAAAAAGGAGATTTCCGTACTGACGTATTCGATCAATTCTGCTGCAAGCGTTCTAAAACGTATATGAAAAAAAAATATGTATCATAAAAGTAAAAACTAAAATGATAGAGGTGTCTTATTGCTTTTTTTCTTCTCATTTGTATCAAAACGAAAACATATAGCAAAGACGAAAGTACCAGAGTTCGAAATCGCACTGTATAAACAGAGCAGCAAACATGTTCAACGGAAACTACTAAATGCTATTTATTCCAATTCTACTTTATTCCACTTACTTCCTGTAAAATATGGTAGAAAGAAATACAGAAATGATGCATTTTAAGACTAATTAGACTTTTATATGACTCGAACTCAATTGTTTCTTTGCAGTTAAGTTTCAGCTTTAATTCAATGTGCTAAGAGGGACGTTAATATGCTGCGATCACAAATTATGCTTCGAGCGCTCGAAAAACGACATAAGAGATTGAAATCAGTAGTAAAGAATAGAGCGAGGGGACAGACAAAGACAACGATCCACTTTTGCTCGTAGGCTTCCCTCCTCTGTTCACGTGCTTCTCACATGATTTCTGCTTGCTCTCACTGAGACACAAGGCGTAATCCATCACGTGAAATACGTACTGCTGTTCCACTACACCATGAAATAGGTAGGCCCCAGGTCCGTCAGCGAATACGCCTACAAAATAACAATAATAAGAAAAATAATACAAAGATTTAGCCAGAGTTAAAAGCAAAGCCTCCATTTACATACTTATCATAAAAGCAATTAACCTAGTGTATATAACTAGCAATAACCAAAGGTTGCAGAGTGCGGGCGACAATGTAACCTGCGATCAGGCGTTTCTTTTTTTCACGCTCTTGCTCCATCGCTGTGCTTTGCGTAAGTTTCACGTGACAGATGGTCAAAACACGCGTGATTAGATTACGAGTGATGGAAGGTCCAAAGGCGCGTGATCAAACTGCGTTCTGTATACGTGCATTCCATACATTTTTAGTGGAAGTCCAAACGAAAGCTGGCTACAAACATGCGATGCATTGGTAGTAACAACCTGGAGATTATGATTGCTGGCTCCCGTCTTGTCGCCTGCCTTTAAACTTAAGCCACTAAAAAGAATCCTCCTTTAGAGGGAAAGGAGGGGCTGGTTGATATCCCGCAAACACGCCTAAAATGAAATCTCTCCCATCAAGGTAAAAGTCTTATATTTACCCGGTGTTTACAGCGTAAATAAAAAATAAAAAGAGAAAAAAAAGTAAATCGTTTTAGTGCGCGATACTCTACGATAGCAGCCAATTTATAGGTTGTGAGTTCTAGATTCAATATTTCTGGCTAATTATAAAGGAAAGATTTAAAATAAAAATCTGGCCGACTTTTCAGTGTTCGCCGTAACTTTATTATGTTTTCGGTTTTCTATCGGGCTCCGCGAACAGTTATGTATATAGCGGCCTTAACATTTGTACAGTCACAGATCTAAAAACACATATCACTATAAGTTACCGTTTGTTTTATTCGGTGACAGACCTGGGACAGTAAATAACTTATTTAATCATTTCGGCTACCAGTATTGAACGGGCGTACGGTCACGTGACTACCGAATTTTCTTAGGATGATAGATAACAAATTTTCTTAGCTATGGGGCTCCGCTAATAATAAAAATCATTATCATCATCATCATCATCATCATCATCATCATCATCATCATCATAATAATAATCAGAAATATAAAATATTCGCTAATTCTGATTAGCTATGGCAACCATGCTTTCGGCATCAGAACAGTTCACCTCCTGCTTACGAAATTATTGGACAGAACGCGCCACGTCCGGTAATGAGCGCTAGAGGATCTTGATTTTAATGTTTTTAAAGAGTTGAAATTACCACAAATTTCAATGTAGCTATTACAGAACTTCCTGTCGTCCAATTCGGTTGGTAACCATACTCGCGATTAAAAATATTGGACTCCCGCAATCTGTCTAACCACTCTTATGATTATTGACTGAATAAGATTTAACTTTATTTATTAGAATCATAATCTTAAAGAAAAAGGAGAGGAAACTGAAGAATAAATGCTAGTATTTCAATTTTAAAGAAGCTCTTTCTTGTTTTATCTGGGATATAAGACGAGGAAATGAAGCAGTTGCAAGGCAAACAGGAGCTGTTGTAGTGTTAAAAAGGAAAGTTTAAGTTGGACTTATTCTTCTCAGAAAAATCATCAATATCAGTATCATGGCAACCGTTTTTGCGCTAGGCACTACTCTAAGTTCGATTCCGAGCGCTTTAACAGACGACAATTTTTTGGTCCGATTCATCAATCATCAATATCCATAAAATAGCGAGTTTTAGTACGCGACTAGAATAAGCGATGCTGCCGCTAATGTGTTGATAAACACACTGCTCTAAGCTTAGCTCTAAGATTGGGTCAATTCTCACCAACATCTTCTGATCCATGACTCTCGTATTCGGTAAGAACTGTAGCCTGCTGAAGAAATTCCTTGTGAGAGGTGTTTACATTGCGCAGGTCTTGACGAGGTCCGTTCAGTCCACCTGGTCCGTCTGCATACCCAAGGGTGGTGTATGTTCTGTTCTCTGTGTCCACAGTTAAAGTATTGTCTACCTCTTGTATTATACCAAACACAGGGTTCCCACGTTTGGGGTATCCGCCGATGGTAAAGACGTGAGAGTGGTCGGCTGTTACTGTTATCAGTGTTTCGTCTGAAGATTCAGGTAATAGTTAATAAGATTAACAAACGCACATTTCAAAAGTGCAGTGCATTGCACAGTATTTGCATAGAAATATGGTACCTTTTTTACTCAATCACACAATGGAAAGAAACAATACCAAAGGGAGATAGACGGTATTCAGTAATGTAAAAAAAAAAAAACCATAACAGATTTGAAAGTTGCATGATTTCTTAATTATTTCCGGAGCAGTCAGTAAGAAAATAGTTCTCGCAATATTCAGGCGTCCGGGATGAGAAGCTAGGTCGTATAATAAACTTAGTCACCGCGGTCTTGGAGACGGGGGAAGGGAGTTCAATCGAAGAGTAAGAGGCAGTGGCGGATCCCGGGGAGGGGCCGGGGAGCCGGCCCCCCCTTATTTTTAGACCAAAATAAGACCGGGCGCCCCCTTATCTCAGAGTCTGGATGACCCCCCCCCCCCCCCCCCCCCCC